CTGCTTCTCAATGTTTGGTTCTGCTCTTAATCAGAACCAGATCCAAAAGTCCTGATTGGTCTGAAAGGCTGATACAACAGCAGCAGATCTTTAATGTATTGTGTTTTTAAGCCGTTCAGTGATTCAGTTTTTCTTGATCTTGCTCTGACATTCGTCCTTTAAGCCTGGAAAGCTGTTCATGTGGTAGAAGACCGACTTTGTAACAGTCTATGTGTCGCAGAAGGGTCAGGTGTGATCGCTACTCCCTGATTTGGGCCTGATCTCTAGTTTCAGTTGTAGCTAGTGACTGATCTCTGAGAACATCAATTAGTAAATGTAGTGGGGTTCCCAGAACCTCGGTTCATTTCATCAAGTTAAATAAAAAGCAGTGTTATGCTCCAGAGCCTTACGATGGAAACTCAGCCTCTTACACACCCATTGGAGAGCGTTGGAAACCTCATTTAACTGGAACCATGTAAACATCGTCTTATCAGCCTGAGGAAAGAAAAGGCCATGCTTCTCCTGTTGGCTTTCCTGCCTAGAACTTAATTCTGTTCCCCTGTTCTGTCAGAAGGAAAGAGATTTAGTGTCAGAGATGAAGAGAATGTGAAAGAGCAGAAGAGAAACAGTCAACGACTGCAGCCTTACTTGTGTGAATACCGATTTGGCTGCCGCTTACCTCTGGGACACTCGCAGCAAGCCAATTACCAAGCCTTAGTCACAGCGAGGGAAAGACAGAACCACTGATTGACTGAAGCCAATGATACATTCCAACCCGGCTCAACTTTCAGCTGCATTTCCTCACCACCTAACAGCAGCCAGCCTTTTTTAGTGCTGCTCACCCTATACAGCCTTGATTCAATGAAAGTCTACAGGCTGAGTGCAAAAGAAAAGAAGAAAGGGAATAAAAGCAGTTGCTAAATAATCCTATTTAACTCTGAAATGTACGCTGCTGCTTTTATTCTTGACTCACATCAAGTAGGCATGTGCCAGCCAAGTGTGGGCTGAATTGGTAAACAGAGTAAGCAGAGAAGGAGACAGACATGTTTTGAAATGAGGCTTGAAAGGCAGCCCAGTTTGCAGCTTAGGGATTTGGTAAATGTCTGCTGGGAAGGATGGAAAACGAAAGAGAGAGAGAGGGACAAATGGAGGGGGAAAGGCGATGAAAGAGTGGTGAGAAAGTCAAGTGGAGAGAGAGAGAGGAGAAGCTATCAACGTTATGACAAATACTGCGAAATGACAGATAAGGGAATGGAGGCAGGTGCATCTGACTACATCAAAGTGCAAAAGAAGAAACAAATATGTGGGGAAGGAAAGAGGAGAAACAGACACTTCCTTAAATGTGGAAGGGTGTATGTGCGAAATCCAGCCTGAGGGAGATTTTCCCTCCCCCACCTCAATGATTTTTCCTGAGCTCGTTAGGAGAGAGCAAAGGTGAAGTCCAGGCTGGAACTACGTTTTTATCCTCCTGCGATGTTTCACCAACAATCTGGGAACAGAGCGGTTTGGTCAGCGCTTTGGAAAAGCCTTGCAGGTGTCGTGATGGGGATGTTCTGTTTGGTGTTCACATGTTGGTGTCTGTTTGGTTTTGCAGGCGAGGCAGACCTTGATGTTGTTTCTGAAGCCTGTCTGCCCTACCTGAGCTGCAGACAGCCAATCAGGCTGCAGGAGGCCTGTCTGAGGTGAGACCTGCATGGAGGAGGGAATTTGATTCTGCTGGAACGTATGTACTGTAGCTTGTCATTCCTGAAGAAAATATGGCAAAATAAAGCACCAAATAAAACAATACTGTCAAGGTTAAAATCTGATGACTTAATGGTCTTTATAATAAAGGTCATACATTGTCTTAGAAACTAATGTTTTAAAAATGCTAGCTGCACTAACCATGTAAATTTTTGACATAAAATGCTAACGACACTTCACCCTGTCTTGTGACCTGCCTCCATCAAGTGTCTTGATGAAATTAAAACCTTTGTTTTGTCTCTGTTAGATCTCCATCAGATTTTATTGATGTTTTTCCAATTTGTGCATTTATTTTTGTTTTGAAACTCTATCATGTTCACAGAGATGCAGCACATATTATATTTCTTTTCTTTTAACTTTTATTTTATGAACATGAAGCAAAAAAGGAATCATTTTTAGTTGTCACCGTCTGTTTTCTACAGCTCTATAAAAAACTGAGAAGATATAATCATAAGACTTACAGTGTCTCAGTGCTGTTCAACATGTGAGCTGCACAATCAACATTGCTCTGTCTCTCCTTCACAGCGTTTTCCGTCACTTAATCCAGCTGGATCCAGACAGCTTCTGGTTTATGCTGAATCAGATCCACTGCCCTTCATCCTACATGTCACCCCCCCACCCTGACCTCCAACCCATGCAGGTGGGTGGGACGGGCCGGACTAGAGACGAGTACACAGACAACGTGCTGAAGCTGCTGAGGGAGGAGTTTGCCTCCAACTCAGACAGGTAACCAGCTCTGACCACAAACGGTCAACTGATATGTTATGGTGTTAAACAAAAACACCATAACTTCTACGCTAACTTCCAAGCCAGGAACAAAGCTGGCCTCTCTTTCCACTCCCTGAGAGGTCTGACTTTTCTTCTGTCTGACAGACGGGTGGATATTGAACATAAAAATAAAATGTTAATTTTCACGTCATTTCTTTATTGTTCAAAGAACTGACTGAATTGTCCTGCTTGTTTTGAATAAATCAACAATTCATCCATATAAAATTTAAACTTTGGGTCTTTTTCTTGGTTTAAAGATTTATCTTTCTGGTGTGCATCTTATTATAAATCCTTTTTAAAGTTCTATATTTACCTCTTTTTAACGTGTCAAATCTATCAGGATTATTTTGAATTTTCCACATATCCAAGTCAATAAGGAAAATACATTTGCTGATACTGAGTCTGATTTCTCTTAAATTCAATAAATCTGTGTTTGTGTTTTAGGAGGTTTTCAGTAAGTCAGAATATCATGAAAAAGTTAATTCATATCTGGAATTAAATAAAAAGAAAAAACACCTTAATTTTGATTAATGAAAGCAACCCTAAAATCTCTTTCCCCAAAAATCTGTTTCATAAGACATGTTTTTAAAAACAAAATTTTTTAATACAGAAATATTAACTTATGGCTAACACAATCAAACACAGGACTAAACTGTTTTACAGCAGATAAAGATGATTGTTGAAGATGTCGGCTGTTCTCAGTGCTGTACTGAAATTATTTCCAGCTGCTGGGTTTTGGTACAAAAGGCCTTTTTTTCTTCACCTGAGTACACAGTGAACAGCTGAGCTCTGTCCTTTTCAGGACAACGTTGTGAAACGTGAACATCCTGACAATGGAATCTAGCAGGGGTCAAAGGGTCATGTGTAAAGGAAGAAAACAGGAAGTCACCTCTGTTATCACATCCCCTCAGTGAGGTGAGCGGTGAAAGCTGCCTTCCTCCCTGCTCTGTAATCAGTGTGCATGTGCAGTGTCTGATGTGTGCATGTGCGTCGGGTACAAGATGGTCACATGTTTTGTATTTAGCTGGCCCTGGCTTTAATGCTAGCGAGCGTGGCACAGCGTCTCTTTATCTCCTCCTGTGCTGTTGCTATTTATCCTGCTGCCACTGCTGACAATAGCACCATTAGTCATCAGCTGCAGAGGGAGGGACATGCTTTGCAGTCCCCATTAAACACAGTCAACAGCTTAACGCTGTTTCTCCTTAATGTGGGCAGACAGACACATGCAGAGAGCTAAAAGCAAAACCAGAGGTGATGAAGAAGAGAGAGGGAAAAAAGTCTTGATTAGAACCGCTTAGCTACAGTTGACGAGGGTCAGTCCTTTTTCACATAAATAACCAGAGCCAATTTAGTCTGGTTTCGTATAGAATTTATTTCATTTGATAAAGGCATACACTTAGCGTGAGACCAAACATTCGAGAAGAAATGTACATGTTTACCTCCCGTCCTCAACAGAGATCCATTTTTTGTTTTTTGATGAAACATCAAACTAAAGTTTGAAAACCAAATGGTGGTTCGTCAAATTTGTTGTTCTGTCTGAAAACAGACAGATCAACTCAGGAGCAGAACTTCTGCTGTTTCTTTTAGTCAATACAGTAGAGGTAAGACTGCTTGTAGCCTGGGACAGAAAAAGAAGATTTTAAAATTAGAAACAGCTTTAGTATATTTCTCTTTCATTGCCCAAAGGGTTTTCTAAAACTCTGCACCTCAAAGCTGCAGTAGGTGACTTACACAAATATGTTTTTGACGTATTTGTTAAAAAACATATTAATTGACCATAGAATTGTGCAAATTGGAATTACGAAAACAAATTAACTTAATATAAACATATTCTTTTGGTAAGATTTTGAGCTAGCATGAGGTGGTTTTATGACTAGATCAAAATCAGTATATTCTGTAAATCTGCAATGGAAAAACTTTGTTTTCCGCTTCACATGAGTCAGATGATCAACAACCGGGTTTTACTACAGGTGGAAATGACGAAGAAAACAAGAAGTGGTTGGAAGATGATGGCACGGTAAGTTGTTAATGATTTATTGAGTGTTTTTAATTGCGCTTCTTATTTAATGAAACAACATAATTTTGCAATTGTGTTCCTTTGAATTTAGTTGAATATTGACGAAGTTTTGTTTACATTTGTAATGGAAATGCAGCTACTATGTCCTGGACAGTGTAACATGAGACAGATAATCCACCTCTTCCCTGAGCTACTGTTACTGTCTCCAGAAATGCATATCTCCAATCAGTCAGGATTTAACTGACGCCGTCAATCAGGCTTGTGTACACGCTGCCTACTGTGCAAATGGCAGAGAAATAACTTACCGTCTCAAAAACCTATTTATCTACCATACTAACTGTATTTCTGCAGGGAAAGTGAAACACAAATTATATGTAATGACATAGTAACAGTTAAAACAAATATGTAAAAAAAAATAAATATATATATATATATATATATATATATATATTATATATATATATATATATATATATATATATATAAGGTCCGTACTGCAGCTTTAGTAGATCCATCAGAATGAAATATTTCCAAATGAGCATTGTTTTCTGAGACTACACCAGAGTTTCAGTGGTCTGTGCTTTGCCAACGCTTCCACATCCAGAAGCTTGAGAAACGGTGAAAGAATATATCAGGGAGGAAAACCCCTTTCTGAGCAGCTATGAAGAAAACCTTATTCTTCTGTCTGTACAGCACTTTAGGAGAGCAGGAACACAACAAGGATGGCTTTTAAAAATGTCAAACTGACAAGACTTCAATAAATAAAGGAATAAAAACAGACGGAGTCCTTTACAAAAAATACATAAATAAATAAATACATAAAACTCATATGTGACAAAAATGCCTTTGTGCATGTTGATTGAAAAAGTTTTTTTTAAGAAATTTACTAAACATGCACTTACTTTGTTTTTTGTAATATACAGTTTTATGTACAGAGTGGATTAGAGGCTTGTAGAGGATTGAGGCTTTTTATTTTTTATTATTATTATTAATGAGCACTGGGTGAGAGAATCAAGCTGGGAGAGAAATTATTTACCCCATAAAACTGTGCTGCCATGCAAAAGCTTGACAGTTTCTCACATTTTTTCTGGTTTTAGCCACAAACTTCATGTTTTACAGGGATTTTATGTGATAAACCAACACAAAATAGTACAAAACTGCAGATAAGATGAAATAAATAATATAAACTAGATTAAAAATACTTGATAAGATTTTGTCTTTGTGCAGTGCATTTCCTTTAAAATGAAAGTTTTTCAGATTTTCAAAAAAACAAAAAGAACAAACTACGTAGCATTTGTTTTGCACTTTGTGTTTGATATTAAATACAAAATAAAATAAAATGCATTGAAATTTTTGGTTAAAATATGATAATTTCAAGAGATACCTTTTACAGGGTTATACATAAAAGTGATATCACTTATATTTACAGTCAATAATGAGAGGCATATTTAAATTGATTAATTTAGTTTCTAAGGTTTAATCCTCTCCAGACTGGTGAAAAAACAAACACTTTAATTTCTTCCTACAGGAACCAGTTACATCTAGACTTCTGCAGCAGAAGGTGGGGAGGAAAATTTCTACTTTCTGAACTGTAAAGCAATTGTTGGGAAAATACCATCTGTAACGTTTTTTTTATTAATATTATTTATTGAAATCCCCCCATTCTCTTTGAACTATTCAGGAGCTGTCCTGAATCAGACAGAAAGTTTGTTAATGTGTGCAGCGCTACATCATCAACATCCATGAACACAAATCAGCAGGTTTTTATGTTGGATTTTAAAGTGAATAAAAGCACTTGGAATTGAACCAGTGAGAAAATATTCCACTTCCTTTTTGTCTGGGCGAATGGAGCGACAGTAAGGCAGTGGAAGGCGTGATCATGTCATTTACAGGATCTGGAGTCAAGCAACATATTATTTACTGGTTAATAGACATACTGATATCAGAAACAGTAAAGCTGCCTAAGTCTAAGCCCACCCCCTTCTTTACAGGCAGTTTACCTACAGGAACCAGTTCAACTAGACTTCTGCACAGCATCAACATAAATAAGAACCACTCCCCCCTCACAGTTAAACCTCTGCGCTCTTTACAAGCCATATTAGATGTTTCTACGGATTCCGGGTTTCTTCAGGCCTGCTCTGTGTGAGAGGGAAGCTGCTTTCTGTGACCAAACATCTGGTTCTGTGACCTCTGGCTTTACAGAGCGCAGCTCGGCTCGTTGGAGCAGTCACTGTGGTTATTGTCCGCACCGCTCCTCTTCACCTCCCTGGCGGCGTTGTGCTGCGGCCCACCGCCGCCGTGGCTGTGGCCATGGTGGGGGGCCGCCTGGGGCCGCTTGCTTTGCTCCATGTGGGGCCCGTGGTTCTGGTATTGACCACTGCCGTGCGGCTCTGCTTCAGCGAACGCTACCCCTGTCTTGGTGTCGTCCCGGGTCTCGAAGTTGGCGTCGCGCTCGGGGCCAGCGGCAGCGGCGCTGTCTGGCACCACCTGTAGGTAGGCTCTGACGCGGTGGCGGCGGGCGCCAGCCTCGTCGCTGAAGTCGATCACGCGGCATTCATAGGTGCCTTCGTCAGATGTTTTGACCCGGGAGAGACGGAGCTTGTGGGAGATGTTGCTGCCCACGACCTTCACAACCTGGCAACGACGAAGAAGAGTTTATCATGATGCTGTTCAATTTATTATTGCAAATATTATTACTTCACTATTTTCAGTTTTTCTTCATAATAAATTGCTATTTTATTATGTTAGCACTGGGAGAAGACAGACACATTTTTTTACATGCAATAATTTGATAATAATAATTTTATTCTAATATCTATTAACGATTGTTCATAGATAGATTTTTTTTTTTTGTCGTGGTTTGAACTATTTCATATTTAGACATTCAGACTGCTCCAAAGCTTTACCCCCCAAACAAACAGAAAGACAAACTTTCCTTCCTCTGATCATTTATGTTGGATAGTGATTACTCTGCGCAGACTGTCGACCTGTCCAGGAATGTTAGTTAGAGATAGGCACCAGCCCCCCTCCCAACCTCACTAGGGATAAGGGTTTTAGGAAAATGGATGGATGGATAGTAATTACTAACCAAATCTTTCTCATTAGCCTGTGTTTCACATTTTTTCTCTTCATTCTTTATAGAATACATTTATGTAAGATTGGAAAATAAAACATAAAAGCTTCAGGATGGCTTTGGGGTTTAAATTCTCCACATATAGTGAAAACACTCCACAGCATCTTTTTCCCTGAGCTCATCGCTCCCAGAGAGACAGAGTGGAGCTGCTGCTCACTCAGAGAGGATGAGTCTGTGGGACATCATTAGGAAATAAATATGACTCCCATTTATCACATACCTCTGTTCTCCTTACGCAGCTTGTAGGGGTGTATGTGCGTGTGTGTGTATGTGTGTTTAGCGGCGGTCCTTGTATGCGCAAACATGTTTGTGTCTTTACTTATACGGATGTGTCTTTTACATAGTTCTCATGTATAAGACATGAGAACTTATACATGGAGTTAAAAGGAACTTTCACATCAACGTGGCATGCAGTGTTTGACTCCATCTATACAACACACACACACGCATACAGAGGCTGTGCTTCCATTACAGAGCCGCAGCAGCTTGTCTGTCTGGGAAAAGAGAGAGGATTCATGGTTATGTTTGTGAATTCTTCTGAAAATTTGAATATTTTTTTCTCACTTAAGAAGCTCTGATTTTAAATCCAATCAAAATTTGGGGATGCAAGTTATTGATTAATGAGTTAATGTAATGTTAATCAATATTATTGATAAACTAATGATTAATTGATAAGCAGTCATTTTCTTAAGAACTTGAGGGTTCATTCACATGAAAAGGGAAATTTGTCATTCAATTGTTGTTAACTCGTATTAATAAGCTTGGACATATTTATAAAATACATGAACCTTTCTGGTTGCTGAAGAGATAAAAAAGGATAGTTTCATTGAAACTTAAGGACCACGTTGCATTCCAAAACACACTCTGTTTAAACCGCTTCTCTTTCCTGTTCTGGTATGGCCCGCCATCTTCATTTCTGTATCAACTGAGGATGACCAGCAGCAGCCAAAATGCAGAACTAAAAAAGGGCTAAGTGGACGTCATTAGTTAATTGATTCAAACTAATTTCAATCTAATAAACCATTCATTGACAATTTATGTCAAATTAGTAAATGTTTGCATCTTTAGCCTGAGTTTTGTCATCATAAAGTAAATTAATATTATCTAAATATAATTTGCTGTACATTAAATCAATCTGTTGAAGTAATTTCCAGGTTCCAGGTTCTGCGTTCCTCATTTTTGACATAATGAGGCTCTCTGGACTATTCCCTCCTTTGTGGCGTCTCCCTGTCAGTGTTTGTCATTGGGATGCGTTACTGTGCCCATTAAGGTAAGGAGGAGGGTTCTTAGAATCTGGACACCTCAGAAGTACTCAGAAGGACTCTGGCCGCCGTTGAGCAGCATCGATGCTGACACTCTGGTGATACAGTAACTCTACACACACAGGATTGAGTGTCAGTGTGTGATCTGGAGCATCGGCTGCACTGTGAGCCACATGGAACTGAAAAACTGTGATAACACACACTGTGTAACACAAAGACAGACACCATGACATGCTCAGGAAGCGTTCTGACTCACACTGATCTTTGTAGCATCTTTTGGTGTTTCCTCCTCAGGAGACACCTTGGAAAAACAGCAGAATGTCAGAAAATCAACAAGTTTAAATTTCAACTGATTACAGACATTTGATGTCAATATTAGCAACTGAAGGAGTGAACCTCCTGTTTAGTTGGTGTGGTATGTGGTTAATTTGATAAATCTATCATTTTTCCAAACATATGGAGACTCCACTGAGAAGGCCTTCATCATAACCTGAGCTGAAATAATCTAGTCAACAGATTGTGTGCCTGAGCACTTTCAGAATATGCTGTGCTTATGTTTGTGAAGCTGCTGTACTGAGCTGTTTATTCAGTTTCCTGTGATTATATTTATTAAAGATTATTTTTATTGGTCTGGTTTGAAACTCAGCGGGTTTTTAAAATGTAATACGCACTTTCTTTTCATATAAGCAAGCCATACAAGTTTGACTCTGTAACTGAAAGGTACCAAAAAAACCCCAAACAAAACAAAGCTCATTGTGGAATATGGTTTTGACTGGTACTTCACTATAATACATTTAAAACCTAAAGAGTGAAACATGGATCCATAATGTGTTGCAAACTGAGACTTTTAGCTGCTGGCATTTACTATGACATTTTTCTTGTCTTATCAGTGAAATAATCAGCCAGTGGATAATCAGCCTGTTGTATACTTACTTCATGCTTTTTCAATATTCAGGAATTAAACAAATTTCTATATCTTGCTGCAAAGTTATTTATTAATTAGATTTGAATTACTTTTAGCATGCTTAGCCATTTGAACTAGAATCTAGACCAAATTTACTCGGTGTCATGTTTTTGCAGTTAAGTGCACAGATCGGTCAGAGTTCTTGTACCTCATTAGTTGTCCAGGGCTGCTGGTCCATCCACTCCAGGTGGTTCCTGATGTACCACCACTGGATCTCCAGTGAGTAGGATGGCATTCCTGCTCCTCTGAAGGAACAGGCCATCTCCACATCCTGGCCTCTCTGGGCAGTCATGTCATGGGGAACCTCAGTAAACATAGCTGGGGACACAGAGACCAGACATGGAAGGTGTCTATGAATGGATTCAGTCCAGAGAGGAAGGAGAGGAAGTGAGTCAAGGTCAGGCCAAGGTAAATAAAATAAAAATGCATATCTTTGTTATTGATTTTATCTAAATTGAACTCTATAATAAAACCAACTTCTCATATCAAAGAACAACCTGAACAACCAGCGGTAAGTGAACAACCAGACCTCTTGTTGCCATATCAACCTTCAGGCCAATCAAATATCCAGCTTCTATGCACCACAAATCTGGAACAAACTCCCAAAAACTGCACAACAGCTGAAACACTGAGTCGCCTTTAGTTCATAATAACTGGAATATTAATCAATATACAGTATATATATCTGATATGTATTCATGATTTTGATGATGGCATTTGACAAAATGTAATGTTTATTGCTTCACTATATGACGTTTTTATGATGTAAAGCTCTAAAATGATTTTTCAACTAAAAGTTTTTACTTGTTAAACCAATTTTAAAAAATCTTACTATCCTTACACATTTTGGTGCAATGGCCTACGTATGTGCTAATACAAAGCAAGCCTTTAACTATTAATATAGCAATAGTTTCACTAATCTTTGTTAAAAGTATTACAGCCCTTAAATATTCCAGAACATAATCTCATAAATACAAAGGTACAGATTAAAGGAGAAATAAATTTATGATAAAGTCCAACTGTGTAAAAAAATTATGCAAATATATCTCATAAAGTATTGTAGCACTTTTACCCTTTTAAAATTCATGATAACATATAAAAACATCAGCTGAAATGTTCAAATTTGATCAGTTTTAATTCAAAAGGAATCTTTGATTAGAAACAGCAAAGATTAATAAAATATTTACAGACATAAAGAAACAGTCTTTTAATAAATTTGCTAAGTGTAAAAGTAGTGTGTAAGTGCATCTTCAGTGACTTAACACTGAAATATGAAAACTGTTTTTTCCCTCCAGCCATTAGATCAAAAGCATTATTTACTGAACAGTTTCTGAGTGTAGGAGGCCCAACTGTACAGAACATAATGAAAAAACACATTTACCATGATATACCAGACTTTATCCAAATGAGACGCTTATATGTTTCACTGATGCATGTATGATTATTAAATAAAAAGATTACTAGAAATTATTAAAAAAACAATTATATGACACTTGGAGAGTGTGCAGCTGTTAAACAGCACTATACTCCTGAGACTAATGATTTAGTTAATTCATGCATTATTGTCAAAATTGATATTTGGATTTTTCTTTTGCAAAGTGGAAACTGGAGTGCAGCCAAGTAAACTACAAAGAAGCTTTAAAAATATTTACATTTATTTTACAACCAAAAGAGTTTAGTATGTGAAGCGAAATATGATCACAAAGAAGGTTTCTATGCGAGATATCCTGATCTTAGATGAAATGTCACAAAAATTTTAGAAATAAAATGGAAAATGACTTGAGTGAAGGTTTTCAGGCTACCCTTTCAGACTCTAGAGGTTCCTCACCCTCAGTAGTGAAGAAAGGGCACTGAGTCCAGCATCAAATGTCAAATCACTCAGAGGATCTGGGCCACACTCCACGTCTGATTGGCAGGAATGCAACCAGCTCATGGAAATGTTAATTGTCCCTGAGTTGTAGGGATTCTCGTTAAGCAAGTTTTAAAACCAAAGGTTATCCCCTGTCTTACCATCTTATATGAGAAAAGCCAACTTCAAAGTACATGTAACATTTTTTTCTCTGTGATTCTAGAGTATTCCAGAGCTGTAAAAGTTTCTAATGTGCTTTTTTTAAACTGCTGAGGTGAAATAAACTTTCATAACTGAGACCAGATCAAAACATTTCCTTTCACATCTTTAAGAAAACATGGAAAAAAGTTCTATTTGGGTCACATCAGACAGATAAAGGATTTTAATTTCAGGTAATTGACATTCTTCAGCCGCACATGTGGAGTTCCTCAAGGAGCCATCCTGGGTGCTGTTCGTTTCTCCCTTTAAATTTTTAAACTGAGCTTAAATTGTTAAAGTGTCTATTAAACTCTTGAGATGATATCAAATCAATAAAAATATTGTAATCTTTGATAAATAAAAGAAGAGATCACATTAGTTTGGTGGAAGTGTGTCTGTTTTTAGTGGAGTTAAAGAAGAGAAAAATAAAAGTCACTAAAGACTATACATATTTCACTGGTATTTGATTTTAGTTGTGTTGAAAAACTAATTAGTTTGAATTTTCTTTTATGGAATTGGAATTTCAATTTCTTTGATGAATTTTTAGTGGTTTTTATTTTGTCCAGTGAATTTTATCTATTGATTAACTCACCTTGCATCTCAGTGCTTTGGTCCTGTTTATGTGTTCTTAAATTTGCATTTATAGATCAACTGGACTGAAAATCCGCAACAATAAAAGCTCATATTTAGTGATGGACCCGATCAAATAGTTAAACTAAAAATAAATTTCTGAAGGTCGTTGGAGGTTGTGATTTACCTGTCTTGTAACCAAGCTTGTTAGATAGTAACAGCCATGGTTACCATCCTCAGGTAATTTATTCATCATGTTGTGTGACATGTACCAAGTAGAGATATTTTTATGATAAAAAAGTATATTAAATATATCTAATGGGGCACACTAAATAGTCGATAAACCGGATCTGATTTTCTCAGGTTTGGCTGACCTGAAATCAACTGACAGATGAGAAACAAATCTCACCTACCAAATCAAATCCAGATCTACAAAGGTCTGAAAATCAGGTACTGATCCCTTTTACTTGTGTCAGCAATAATAATCAAACCACTGTTACCAACTTAGCAACTTTGTTGCTATACTTATAAATATTTCAGAAAAAAAATGGTATCTGCATTACAAACAGAATCTGTTTTTTAAATATTGGTGATCAGCCAAAAAACTGTAATAAGTGCAAAATCTCATCTAACCCAGTGCATTTTATAGTCAATCTTATTCAAAGCCCTGCACTGGTACAAAAAGGTACTTTAAAAAGCTTCCATTTAAATATGTCCAATATAAAATACCTTTCTATTCAGGCACACACATCCCTGCCTAACATTTACACTGAGCACATTAAACTCGGCCTGTACTTGATGGAAAACTTTGCCTTGTTTATCGTCCAGTTAGCTGTCAAAATATTTCATTCTTATCAGATGGTTATCCTCTTTATGACATCATGTTTCTATCCTGTTGTGTCTTGATCCGTTCGGACACACTAACCGTGTTTTTAATTATTAAACTACTCTGACATGACATTCTTGGCAGTTTTGACAGTTTCTTAACCTTTGACCCTTGATTCTCAGTCATTGTAATGTGTCAATCCTCTGCCAACAGAGTGCTGATTTTCCTCTTGATTCATGGACCAATGTCACCCTGTGAACCTGCATTATGGATCTGTCTTGTATTACAAGAACAGTACAAGCCTACAGTCATCTCCCCCGCCCCCCTGTACATTGATCAAATCTGCGTGTATTTTTCATTTATGACACCTGAAACACACCAGCTATTGATTTGACATTACAGAGCCAGAAACAATGCCTCCAGCCTCTTTGGTGGAGAATATTCAAAGCTGAGACATAGAAACTGCTGGGTGAGACAGAGAACCTCTGAAATTATACCAAACAATGATATTATTTTTCTCCACAGAGCTGCAAGGAACGCAACACAATCAACAGGTAACATTTTGTTGGTCATCATGAGTCTATTTATCATGACTTACCGTGTTTTGCCAAAATGTGAAAACCACTTGGACTTTTTCCACATTGTAGTATTAACATTAAATGTATTTAATTGGTATTTGGGGACAAATAAACAAAAAGTTGTGTATAATTGTGAAATGGAAGAAAAAGAATGTCAAATGATGACAAATTGACTTATTTACAGCTGTAAGTGATACTAAATATAATGATGGATAGCAATTATGAGGTTTTACCACAGATTCTCAGTTGGATTTACGTCTAGACTTTGACTGGGCCATTCTAAAACAAGGATTAGCCTGTCGCTCTAACATTAACCCCTTTCAACCAATAACGGCTATAAATAAGATAAAACATGAAAAACTTAAAGAATGTTCCAAGGGTGTGAATATTTCTGCAAAGCTTTATAAGATGTTTGTCATCCAGGACTTTGTAAAAATCATAAATCCAGACCAGGGATGCTGAAATTAATCATGATTAATTGATTATTGAAATAATCATCAACTAATTTTGTGATAAATTAATCACTGGCTGAAATACACAGACACCAAAATTGGCCATTTGTTGAAAGAATAACTCAGTTTTGCACTCGGTACACTCGGTAGACTGACACCGAATAGACGAGCTCTGTTTGAGGAATGTGCAGTACAACACATTATTACAGTCTGTTTAATTGAATCATCCATGGCTTTTCTACAAATCCATGCGTTCCTTTTTCACTCTGCTCTATCTGCCCTCAGTGCTCCTATTAATGCCCAAATCCAGCAGTCACAGAGCCGAAGCTGAAGCTTTGAAACAGCTGCAGTCATTGGTCTCTCTGAAGCATTATCACCTCCCAAAGTAACAGTGGAAGGCTCTAAAACCAGTTAGGTGTTCCACTCAGTTACAACCTCAGAGAGGACAGAAAAAGAGAAAAAAACTGAAGTAATGACCATGCATTAAAGAGAGCAAGGCTTTGTGTGTTATGTGAGATACTAATATACTGGCACAATAAAAAAAAGATTAAATTAGGCTCATTGTGTGTATGTGTATGTGGACGTGTGTGGGTGTGTGCGTGTGTGTGTGTGGGTGCGAGTGTGCATGTGTGGGTGTGTGTGGAGGAGGGGAGGCGGAAGACAATGTGTGAGGCAGCAGATAGCTGAAGGAGCAACGCTGATCCTTTATTTCTATTATAAACTCAATATGGTAATTACAGCTATGACAAGTGGCTGCGTCTTCCTTCAGCATACTTGAACTTTTATTGTACTCTCTGTCCCTAATTATCTACACACATAGAGATCTAACTTTAAAGAATACTATC